GGTAAATGCGGTAGAAGATGCAGAGTGACCCCACATCTCTACGCAACGCCAAAGGATCATGCCGCTCGGAGAGGGATTGGTCGTCGATCTGCGATCAGCCTGTTGGCTTTTACCAGATTTTATGAAATGATGGCAATTAGGGATCGCAAATCCAATATTTTTTTTTATTTCCCTCCGTAATTCGTAAACTATCAGACTGCGCAAGTTTCGCCCTTTTCACTCTTTTCGCTCTTTTCTTGTTCTCTGTTCGTCTGAAGTCTCCTTTTGTATCGTACGGTTGATCTTTTAATGTCTTCCTCGACAGTAGCAATTCCCAAATATTTATGGACTTCAGCATTTCGTGTTAACCACGGCGCACCGCTTATATTTCGCAGTGTTTTGTTTTGTCGCCGATGCACGATTTCGATATTAGAGCAAGAATTTTAATAGCGATTAATTACAAGCTTATTCTTTTGTTATGACTGGATAATTTGTATACAATCACCGTACATATTTGTCAGATTTCATTCGTTTATTTGGCGAAACAATTTGCATTAATTTCTGAATAATAAAACATGGATTTTTAAAAGAACCACATGAAAATAAATAATTTAATCTGACTACGTTACACTGTTCGGTCGTCATGTATGTAAATTGTTAATTACCGTTGTGTGAATATAACGAAATTTCGTTTATACGCGTTAGACATTAAACGTTCAAAATAAATAAAGCGCTTATAATTAGTTTTACTTATAAGCTCAATTAGCAAGTGTGCAGAGATTTAGTTAATAGACGAAAGTCCACATGTTCATATACTTAATTTTATATGAATTAGATAAAAAATTCCATAAAGAATATACTTTTTAATATATTGTACTTATAATAGAGAATAAAATCTAATTAAAATTAAATATATGTATTGATAGTGCGTTCGATCCCCGTAAAATAGGCAAAAAAATTAAGCAACAGCAGTCAAGAGACAATGTAGATAAAGACTAGAAGTTTTAGCCTTGACTGTCATCGCTCAGGTCGATCCGCACCAATGCAGTTTCTATGAGTGCATTTATGATTTAACATTCACTCGCATACCGTACGAGTTACGCGTATGTCAGGCGCAGAAGAAATGCTTAATAGAAACAACAATTGAGCTTGTGGCGTAAAAAGACGACATTTTTTTTTACAATCCTACAGCTATACATAAATTATTTACAACTAAAACAATTATACTGAACATAACGCCAAAGATGGAATATATCATATATACAAAAAGGTACAAACATTTACAAACGGAAAAAATCAATAGCAATTATTAAATAGGTAATACTTCATTCAGCTGTGCTGTGTAATTGTGTGAAAGTGAGGGTATGTACGTGAGGATGTGTATGTGGGGTGTGCTCATGACGCAGGTGGAAGGTTTTAGGTTGACTTTGTTTAAATATACTTACTACTTCCTATTAACCATATTCCATAGCTTACTCATACTAAAACTTATAAAACATATCATCGGTAATAACACGAATGTATAATCAAAAAGCTTTTATGACTGTAATAAACTCCAATAGATTGACAATGCAGCTATATTTAATTCAAATAAAGTGACAATATCGATGTATACACAAAGTTCGTGTTCAATATTACTATCAATAAATTGTAGGTTGTATTATCTAGTAATATTGTTGTTAAATTTAATAGCATCGTTACACCCGCCCGCTGAAAAGACATTAGGGTCAGATTATTGATTATTATTGGAAAGCAATATCCTTTAAAAGCTTTAACCGGATGTGACGTTGGTAATCGGCTTTGGACGGTGTAACTATTTTTGGTTTTCGATCTATTAAGTTATATAGGACTCAAGTACTCGATGATGCCTCCCGCACGACCAATGCAATTTACGAAACAAATTATGTCTTCTATTAACGCATCCACAAATCAGGTTTATTAAAATTTTGAACGCGTATTCATTCACTGAGCCCCGGTTGTTCCCTTCGTTCGTTCTTTGTAGTCTCGTTCGCTCTTTCTCTCTCACACTTTCTCACTACAATCAACAAAGAAATAGATTAAAAGGTTCTTCTTTATCAAAATAACTTTTCATGCAGTCATGTAATAATTTGTTCTGTTTCTTAATAAGTTTCGAACCATTTCAATGTATTTTATTTCTTTGTCAACTGAACTGAACTAACTGAAATTATCGTGATTCATGTGTTCTTTTTCATTGTGTATATTATGTTTTAATTCCTTTGTTTTGGTCTATTCTTGGTGTATTTTTCGTTACAGTGCTAGGATGAGATCGCTTAAAAGCGAGTTAAATGCAATAAATATAAGAATTTATTTAAAGACATAATGCAATAAATAATTCAGTTTGTTTATTGGTTTCTTTGTTAGTTACCAGTTAGCGTAATTAGTACTTGATTATATATGAAGATTTTATATTGGCGTAAAAAGAAGTTTATATTCAGTACATAATTAAGTTATAAACTCTAAATCTTCTTAATAAAGAAAATCTAAAAATAATAATAATACAATGTATGGGATGCATTTGAATGCATTTTCCAATGTTTTACTAAAAGCCTTTTCGAAATGAAGAATTAAATTTAGCATTGTGAACACTACAAGGGTCCTTAAATGTGCGACAGCGTTTTAAACGTAATTAATATTAAAGGAATATAAACTAAGTAGGTCAAGCGATATCTTAGCATACCTGTGTAGTGTATGTCCAGAGCGCCGGACACACAATAATGTCCACTGCCGCTGAAGCCTATTGTTCGTAACGATTTGTCAACGATAATTACCTGTCCGCCATTGTTACAGTAAACAATGGAAGGGATGTATGACAGGCTTTAGACTGTGAAAGGATCATAATGGAAATATTTATTTACATATAGGCTATTAACAGTTTGCCCGAGTGGCTTCAGCGTGCGACTCTCATCCCTGAGGTTGTAGTTTCGATCCCCGTCTGTGCACCAATGGATTTTCTATGAGGGCATTTAACATTCACTCGAACGGTGAAGGAAAACATCGTTAGGAAACCGGCTTGCTTACACAAAGGTCGACGGCGTGTGTCAGGCACAGGAGGCTGATATCTACTTGCCTATTAGATTGACAAATGAACATGAAATAGATTTTGAAATCTGAGGCCCTGACCTAAATCGGTTGTAATGTATGCAAATCATACAAAGTGATAAATTTGCAATTAGGGTGTGATTCAGAAATGAGACTACTACTATGACTCCCGTTTGCCAAAATCCAGTAGGTCATGCTTAACGAGAGGAGGAGCAGAGAGATGGCGAGTTTCAGAGACAGTCGAAGTCCGGGCTAAGCCCAGTCATGTTTAAATAAATTTCTTCAGTCTACGCATATGAGCGCTACGTACCAAATAGCGTATTTAATTCTTCCGTCTCTGTTCACCACAGTGCAAACATATTTTGACAGAAAGGGACAAAATAATACTTTAGTTAAAGCAATGTAAAGTTGGTATGGAACTTTGATACCCCTATTTAATTATTTAATATAAACATAATGCAACTCATGTTAAATCGAAATAAAATATCCTGTTTCTGTACCTAATATTAGTTTAATTCACTGCAAATATAAATAAATCTTAGACATAAATATGTCTTTGTCCAACGAATTAGTTTAATTATAATGAGTTCATTAGCTATTTAATCATCAAATAATCATAGCTTGTGTAATGATATTACGTAACCTTTGACATATTATATTGACGTTAGGTTTAATGATTGTGACAAATGGTTTAGTAGATTACGTCGTATTCTAATTTCTTACCGATAAATAAAAAATTGCTTCGGAATCAGCTTCACAAAAAGCTTTATGGAGAAAATATCAAACATATTGTTAAAAAAATATTCTCAGTTTGGTTACTTAACTAAAACATTTTTGCAATATAAAGTAATTGAATCGCATATTTTCATTATCGAACTTGTCCTTTTCATTTTTTATTATGGCAACACACACTTTGCCCCAGCCGCATGTTCTTACGAAACCAGCATTAGTCCCACTGAAAGTATGAGATCTAGAAGTACCAGAAGCAGATGAATAAAAATGCATCAGAAAGCTTAAATTTCTATTTTATTTATTGCTTTATTTTCTGTTATTTCGTTTCCAAACCGCACAGGTCCAAAGTTTGAAAACACAATATCTAAGAAAACGCAATAGCTAGACAATAGTTTCTTCTTACATTATTTTTTTTTTTTTTAGACAAGTAATATTTTTGCATAGCGATGAAACATAAGAACCTGTTAATCATGAGTAGCATGATAAACACGTGCGCGTGCATAAAACGCCGAACAATTAGTGCGATAATGAAAACCGGCTATTCAATTGGGAAATAATGTCTAAAAAATTTTGTTAGTACAAAGTAATATTTGATATGACGTTCATGTCTTGAATGAGTTTTTAGTTATGCCTTTATTTACCTTATAGTATAGTATCTGCAATTTTATTAAATATATTCGCAAACCCACCCGTGAACTTACATTGACAACCTGTTCAAGGCCGTCAAAGATTATATAAAAAACAGATCATTCACTTCATTTACCTAATTTAAATCCCTTTATCAGAGACATATATATACATATCACTCCTTACTAACTAGAAATAATATATGGGTAAACATTCAAATATAATATCAGTTCAAATTTTGAATAAACCATATATCTGGATTTAATTAAGATTCTGGTTTGTAGAGAAAAAATAAAAAAGATATTTGCCCGAGGAACTATGTAGTACTTTTTAGCATATTAATATATATTTCACTACAATTTTTTAGAATCGAATGAATCTTATTTTCTCTTCAAATATTAAATTTAAAATTATTTGTTATATAATTAAAATTAATATGTTACTTCTAACATAACAGTGTATATGAAATCCGTATCTGCGAATTAATCAGCTAGTTACATTAAAATACTAAAACAAGAAGTCAAGATTCAAGAACAGTTGCTTGCCGGACGCTACATGAGTCGAACGCGCGTGACAATAATATGTTTACTTAAACTATCGACATGTTGGTTCAAGTTATAGTGGTGGTTTTCGCCGCAAGTGTTAGCTTAGTGCATACACGACATGTCGTAGACACCAGTGTTCATAGACACGCAGGCTTAACGGAAATGCAACATGCTCACACTGACCCCATAACATTTGGCCAGACTGATACTCAAGGCAAGTTCGTAGTGCCAAAAATAAATCAGCAACAAACAACACCAGTTAACAGTGAGAGTAATAATAAATTACGTACTAATCAAAACAGGGATACAGGTTATACAGGAAATGAATCATCGAGGAATCAGTACGAAAATGTGTCGAATGAACCGCAACGTAGCCAGTTTACCGTTAAAGCAATAAAACCTAGAAGAATTGACGACCGTGCTTACAATAATGACTATCAGTTAACAGAAAGAAATAAGAAGCAACTTACAAGTCAACAAGGCCACAATAAAACACGCGAATCAGATCGCGACAATAATATTTACAAACAAGATGATATAGTTAAATCAACCACTAGTTCTGTTAATCCATCAAGAGATCAGAACAGAAGACTCTATCAGGAAAAGATCCAGGAAATCGTAAGAACACCAATAAAATTTGAACAGGCAAACGATGACTACAATCCAGACAGAATAGTTTTTATACAAAACGTGAAAGATCAAGAAAATAGTATTTATAACGGAATTGTAACGCCACCAACCACAAAGCTTTTTACAAACAAACCAAGCCAGACACACAAAGACAGCTATACATCTACTACGATAGGTCCAGATCTTGAAGATAGAGTTGCTATTTCTGGTGATAAATGCCCCATGGGACAGACGAAGATTGTGGGCTCTGATCGTTGCGTAAAAGTTGATACTTGAATGGACTTGAGCACCGCAAATCCACTTATATACATGAATGATAAATAGGATTTTGTCGCTTAGTTAAAATACTTATTTTGAATATTTTAATGAAAAAACTTATTTTAAATGTTTACCGCAGTGAAAACAAAGTTGATTGGTTTCGTTGGTTTATTATTACAGCAGATTCTAGCTTACATTATTCATTATGAGTTGATTATTGAAATAAACCCTTGCACCGATAACCTTGGCATAAAAATTTACAGGTGCTTTGAAATTCCACTAAAAAAAGGACCACTTAACCCACTGGATTACATAAATTTATACAATGAATTCTTTCTAATTTCCTTGTTGCATAACTCTTTTGATGATATTACTGTGTATTTTTTTACCTACAGTTATATTCCCATTTCCCACAGACTACGGGTATCATCTATTAATTAATCTTTGCGTTTAGGATTACTAGGCTATACTTTGACATCCAACACGACTATTATGTGTAATGCTTTATTATATTGGACATTTGACGCTTGGAGGGGATGGAAAGGTTTGAATTGAATAAACCTATTTAAAAATGACGCATTTATAACCGGTGCAACGATTACATTTAGGTTTGAAGGTCAAGTTGATGTCACCGCGAACTTATTGTCTACACAATATTGTATTGTATAAACAATATAAAAAAACCATGTGAAACGCTTTAACGCGTAAAAAATAGGTATTCTAATGGACTAACGTAAGCTTTACTAACAGTAGTACGTCAACTAAATAAAATGACTTTAATGAATAAGTAATAAAAATTATTAACTTCTGAAATTGTACAGTGTTTATTAATTGCTGTTTTGAATTGATAAATGTTGCGGGATCAGTTCTAATGACAGGGCTCATGTTATACTCATAATTATAATACTAACTTTGTTTTGTTTTGTGTAATTTTATATATATTGTATGTAATTTGTTCTTCGATTTTGTTTTGTTGATCGATTATTTTGTTTATTGGGCAAAATAATCTATGTACGGCTTCGAATTACACTTTTTGTCGTATTATGTAAATTTCCAAGGTTCCATACCTTGAATTTATTACTGTGTTGTACTTCCCCATAAGATGTGTGATTATGTGCTATTTATTAAACGTTTTTTAATCTCAGTTGTTTTGTTTTATGAATAAAAATAAATCAGTGGCGCTACAACCTTTTTAGGTCTGGGCCTTACATGTCTGTATCATAATTAGGTGACCCTCCTGTGCCTGACACACGCCGTCGACATTTTGGGTCTAAGGCAAGCCGGTTTCCTCACGATGTTTTCCTTCACCGTTCGAGCGAATGTTAAATGCGCACATAGCATGGTGCACGGCCGGGGATCGAACCTACAACCAGAGTCAGGGATGAGAGTCTCACGCTGAAGCCCATCACTGCTCTGTTTGTGTTACATTTTATTACATTAGATAAAAAATAATCCAATATATTACTGACTAAATTCTGCGTATATTTTACACGTTATGACGTAATTTATATTGTCTTCCCGAGTCTAGACTAGACTCAATGTATGCGTCACCATCTAAGGGACAGAGTTGGAGCGACAGTACAAACTAATAAGGACTTTAATACGGTTCATGATTAAATAACCGAGAATATGAAATTCCACCCGTATCACCTGGACCTCCGTTGTTGCACTGAGCGTTTTTAAGGCAGTTTTTGCTGCGCATTTCCACTATGTAGAGCCAGCTGCCCGCCGATGTATTTCCGAACCGATTCGACTTAGGGTCTAGAAAAGAGCGTACTAATACTTTATAGGCCGGCAAAGCACTTGCTCACAATCTGGCAATGTGAGTGTCTATGGGCGGCGGTGTCACTTTACATCAGACGATCCTGCCCATTTGCCCTTTGTTATTTAGAAAAGAAAGCATTTGCGAAAGGTTAAAGCAATAATATTCGAAAATATATATATTCCTTAAAAAACGCTTAATATACGTATATATATATCTATGATACTACACTTTGTCAAGTTTTTTTTAGTTGTCATGTCTTCATTTATTGAAAAATTTACCTATGGGATATATAAAACGTTATATATTTATTAATAACTAGTAGACTCGGCCAAGCGTTGCTGTGGCTAAGGTTTTTGTTATTGTAGTAAAGTATTCAAGGGAAACGGTAGGAGTACACCAGTCATGAAGAACACCGTGCTTTTTTGGTGATTATGTCATTAAATTGTAGCTTATGTGTAACGTTGGTACTTTCAACACAGCGCCATCTGTTAGAATTGTGACTGTCAAATAATAAACAAATAATTGCAAAAAAATAATATTGTGGGTATAAATTGAGATGTTAGCTATCGTATATTTTAAGTTAGATCAAACTGTACACGGTGTGCAAATTGATTGAAATCGGTTCAGTAGTTTAGGAGTTCATAGCGGACAAACAACGTCCTATATATATTAAGATTATAAAGAATCTACGTTGTCTAATATGTCTACTTATATTATAAAGAGGAAATATTTATATTTTTTGGTAAAGTACTTAAATAATTCACAATTAAACTACTACATTATCCCTGTAATAGGCGAATTTTAATATAAAACACTAGCTAGCATTTGACATGAGAAAATTCTAAATCACAGACGAAATCGTAGATTTAAATATGTAAAATATGCAATAAAATACAATTGAAATGCTGTTGCAATCGTAAAGCAATTTAGCAGACTCTACCCGTGTGAGCAATAAACCTGAGAGGTTGAGGAGCTTTGAGAGTTCAGCCGACCGTGCGACACTGAAATACGAGTGATTGCAACTGTTAGAATTCATTTTATCTACTGAATAATGTTTCTAAAATTAAAAACAAGAAGGTTTTAATTCGTTCGTACGAACCATTATTCCATTAATGTCCTATATCCTCTAGATGGGGCAGAGGGCGTCCATCGCGTTCGGTCTTGAGCCTCGTATTTCATCACGCTCCAAGTCTTTCCGGCTCTCTTGCCGTATACAACTGTACGACGCCAGGTTTGCTTGGGACGGCCACGCTTCCTCTTTCCTTGCGGGTTCCAATCAAGCGCCTGCTTGGGATCCCTTCGAAATGTATGACCTATCCAGTTCCACTTGCGTCGCTTGATTTGCTGACTGATGGGGGTTTCTCGGCAGCGCTCCCAAAGTTGCTCGTTAGAGATTTTTTCAGGCCAGTAGATGCTCAGAATACGGCGAAGACAGCGGTTGACGAAGACTTGGAGTCGGTGCGAGATGTCTCTGGTGAAGCGTGGAAGACGCTTCACATCCATAGAGCAGCACAGCCTTGACGTTGGATCCGAATATTTCAACCTTGATTCGACGCGTCAACATCCGTGACTCGAGACGATAGTTATCTATATTAAGCCCTCCAACAAACAGTAATGCTGCTGGACTGTTCGGCGTATGGGGCATGGGGAACATGGGTAACAAAAGTCTTCATTGGACTAATGACACAACGCTATAGTTCAGCAACTTCAAATATGCATTAAAAAAAACAGTGTTGCAGCCTGCGGCGACACCAGGAGGTTCGGCATTCCATTGAATGTGTCCCAGAAGATAGAAGTACATATATTATGTCTACGTATATAATAGTCTTTTCCATGTTAGGGAAGAGGTATAAGTGAATTAATAAAAAAAACAGTCATCGTTACAGCAGGAGAGGACCTGGGAAGTCTGGGTAAACTCCTTTTACCTTTTCTCATTTATTTAATTTAAATAAAACCTAAACATAACAATCAAATATACAGTATTTACGATGTTCTTAACCTACATAGTAATTATAAAAATAATTAAAAATTAATAAAACAAAATTAAAGCAAACAAAAAGTTGGTCCCTGTGGCAGTTTACCTTTAACGATGGCATTTCCTCGCTGTATTGCGATATTAATAAAAAAACTGTTTTTTTTTATAATTTTCTTAGGTTTATTATTAGTTTTTAGATATACTTCGAAAGGATACATAGTTATTTAGTATGAAGAAGAATTAAGAATCAAGAATTTATGATTCCTAGAACTCTTTCAGCGTCGTAAATAGTAGTCCTGGAAAGCTTATAGCTAAGAATATTTCTTCAACATGCGACGGTTAAAAATGAACTTGCAATGCATCATACTTGACACTTATAAGCCAGAAGTGGCCTTCAAGTAGAGTCGCATACGTAACACGTAAAGTACAAAATCGTGTCCATAGATTTGTTCGAAGATTACCTATATCCATAGTATATAAACTTTTATATTTTATTATTGTTATGTACAGTTTAAAATAACTTAATTTGACAAGTCTATTAAACTTTTTTATACTATAAATGATTCGATTTTTAAAATTGTAAAAATATCTCCCGGCAGCATATACGAGTAATAGACAATAATTTAAAAAGACTGTAAGGAGGTTGGCCCCTATGTCACCTCATGTGAAAATGGTAGAGATGAAACTGATGCTGTTTAGGTCAAAAAGACATGCAAAATGTCGGGGACTATATTTGATTAGGTACCTAAGAAATGTAAGGCGTTGCGTACGATTTACCCTACGTGACGACGGAAGCTTGCACACATATACTATAAACGGTTAGGAGGAATAGTGGGGCGCGTCTTCGTGAATTGCACTATCTATACACACCTTCTACCCTCCGATGTTCATAAAATAGCTAAACAATCTCTTGTTTCAGATGCGAGTGGCGTGCGCTTGACCACGGACGGGCTGCTAAGCGCACTGGCCCGTCTCCGCCGCGTCCCGCACCCCGCGCCCACACGAAACGTATGTCCCCTTCACGAATAATTCGCAAAATCGAATAGTAATTTAAACTTCCGACTAGGACTTGAACCCGATATCCCGAGCGTTGCAGTCGCCTAATAAGACCGCAAGGCTACGAGGCCCTTAAAGGCTCTAATTCTATGGAAAGTTTGGTCTTTTGATTGTTGAAGTTAGTAAATGGAAGGATACACTCTGCTTCAAATATATGAAAACCTTCTATTATTTTGAGCATTTATATGAGCAGTGTTGGCCTAGCGGCTTCAGCGTGCGACT